TTGGTGAAAATATACATAACCAAAGATACACCATTTCAAAAATTTCTACATGCACAGTTCAGTGACATTGACTATGCTCTTCCAATTGTGCTGCTATTCTCACTTTAGATGAACGTTTACAGAACAAAATAGTTTCTCATTAAACAGTTAGTACACGTTGCCCTATGACAATGGCTAACAACCTCGCTACACATCAACACTGTTCTTACTGAACCTTGGGTTCCCTATCACCAGCTTTCCTGTCCCCTTCTACCTTCTGGCCCTTGTCCCTGGACTGCTGTGCCTCATTAGTCCCGTTTTGTCTGATTGTTTCTTGAGGACAGACTGAAGTTTCCCCAACAGAGCAATTGTGCCGGGCAACATGGTGCTCTAGGCAGAAGCACCACACCGTCCCTCCACAGCAAAGATCTGAAAAACTAAGCCAAACAGAGAAAACAGCAATCCTGAAACCCTAAGCATCAAATGAAGAGATAAAGAACTCAGCCAAGCACCAAATGGAATGAGAAACCGACAGAGAACAGTGCACAAGGAGAGATACATGCAGAGGTCCCTTATCAGCTAACGTAGCATGTATCCACCATCTTGGACTCCTATCAGAGACCAGCGAACAGGGGGTACAAGAAAGCAGCTTCACGGACCTTTCAGCAGGAGACAGAACAACCGGAAACCAGCGATAGACGCTTTCCCATCCCCTACCCTTCTTCACCCCCACTCGGCCTCCTCTGCTTCCCGCGGCCACAGTCTCTTGGCCAGGAAGCACCGGCTGCTTGGATTCCACCCGCCCGCACTGGCCGACTCCCTGAGTGCCATTTGTTGGCTGCTGGTGTTGCTTTTTTCCACTTCTTTTGATTTCTTCCTTACCTCTCACCACCTCCCCCTCCTTTCTCTCAAATACCTGGCTCAGTGTGCCATTTTTGCTTCTTCCTGAAAGGCTGTGAAACTCCGCTTGAATGTGAAACTGCTTCCCCGTCCATGCTGCCATGCTGGTGGGATCCCAGGGCTGTTTTTGTTTGTTTTGAATTGTTTATTTGTTTTCTTTTTCTTTTCTCAAACTGGGAGCCCATTCTAGCCAGGCAGTACTGCGCAGCTTGGGACCTACCCCCTCAGTTTGCGCAGACGCACAGAGGGATCCCTGAGAGCATTTCTTTTTTTGTGTGTTTTTTGGGGGTTTTCCTGTTCTTCTTCTTTTTTTCTTAATTTGTTTTCTTTTTCCTCTTTGTCTTTCTTCATTAGTAACTTTCTCATCTCTCTGTACCTTCCTTCTCTTCCTATCTCCTGAATACCTGGTGCTGAGTGACACCTCTACACCTTCTAGCCAGGCTGTACTTCCCTGGGAGCAACTTCCCCTGACCTCGTAACCACACTGGCGGGATCCCTGGGAGCTCTTCTTTTTTTTTTTCTTTCTAATTTTTATTTATTCATTTTTTTTCCTCTTCTTCTCCTTTTTGTTTTTCTCCATTTCATAGTCTCTCATCTCTCCACTCCAACAGCAAGCTCTCCTAGCACTCTTTTTTGTTTGTTTGTATGTTTTTGGCTCCTGCTCCTCTCTCCTCTCTCCCATACCCATCTTAGCTCCACACATCACAATCTCCCGCCTCCATCTTGCCTACCTGCAATGTGCACTTAACATCACATCACCAAGCAGCACAGGCACAGCCTACCGGAACCTGCCCTGCACTGATTACTGGCCTGCCCTAGTGGCCGTACTAAGTGCCACAAACAACCCATCCCAGCAACTCCTCTTCAGCTAGACCTGCTCTGCTGTACCATATTTGAGTGACTGACCCTGCCAATTGGAGGAGATGAAAAGTATCGTGCCCACAGACGAGCAAGCAACAAAGAACACACAGCCCGCCT